GTGTAAAGGGCATAGTACAGTTTTTGGCATATATTGTTTTCAACGAATATTTGCTTAATTATATTTAGAAAGGTTAGTGAGCTGCAGACGTGGCTCAGTTAACAGGAAGGCTTCTTTGGAGGGGTTCCTGCATAAGAGAAGGGACATGAGAATGGCCAGGGGCATGATGAGAACTTGAGGATGATGAGAACTGTTAGGAAGAGCACATGCTGGAAGCAGATAACAGAAGAATGCCTCTTTTCTCTAGCCTTTCCAACTCCAGCTCTGATGTTCAGGCAACCTTCCTAGCTGAGCATCTGTAGCCTAAGGCTGTAAAGAGGAAATGTTGCAGTTATTTGACACAGGCAGTCAGAGTTTGTGGACACCCATTACTGTCAGCCCCAGGGCCTGGACTCTGCTTCCAGCCCCTGATGGATGGTCTTTGCTTGGGCCTGGAAGCAGAGTATGAAGCTGTGTCTGAGCTGCTGTAGAGAAACGTATCCATATGGGCTTCATCATTCTTGCCTCAGCCAGTACACTCACCAATTAAGATAGCTCCCTGTTTCCTGGTGACTCTACTAGGCTGCTTATAAAGCCCCCCAACCTTGGGAGCTGGTTCAGTCCCTGCACTGTGCTGTTGGTGGTATTTCCTGCTGCTGTGAACAGGTAAGGAGAGTGAATAAATGGGTAGGAATTGACGGGGGAGGAATTAAAGAGAGTGGGATGGTAGGGACAAGGAGGGAAGGGAGAAGAAGCAATGAACTGATGGAAATAACAAGTATGGCAGGATGAAGAATGGAGGGGTATAATGGAACCTAGAAAGAACTGAGATAGAGAGACAGAGGAAAGTAGTAAAGGAAAAGAGAAGGAGAAAAGGGAAACAGATGCAGAACTCTCTACCTGTGGTTATGATTGTTCAGCAACTGATTGACACTATTAAGAGTCTACTGTGCCAAGTCCTCTTCAGTAGCTAGCATCAAGGGGGGAGAAACAAGCATGCTCAAACTCTCAAGTAACTTACACTCCAGGCAGAAAAAGGAGATGGCACTTTCATATAAAAATTACCAACATCAGCTGCCATACCTCATTATTAAGGGCCAGATGTAAGGACAAAGTAATACATGAGATTTAGAGCAGATAAGTTTCAGATTTACTGGCCCAGAGCTGTCAAGGCAGGGTCCAGATTATGGAAAGAATAGATTTCAGCATTGAGTAAAGAACAGAAGGTGGGAAGGGGGAGGAGTCAATGAAGAGGATAGGTCTATACACCTTTATTGATGCTAGAAAGCAGGGGTGTTAACCACTGGATCACAAAGTTATTGTGTTGGGTAACTCTTATCCAAGTCATTTCATGTAGCCTTCTGCATGGGAATGGACAGGTCTACCCTCTGCCTAACCAGTCAAATGGAACCTGTGGCTGAAGACAGACATCAGTAGCCTATTCCTCTGGTTAGTGGCAATGCAGAGAAAATCTTGACAAACTGAGACATTGAACTTTGTCCACTACTAGTTCTAGAGATCATGCGCTCCTTGGATCTAGAGAGAAAGTTCTCTGCTTTTTATTTTATTTTCATATCTCCATTCAATAGAAAACAAGTTCCGTAGCAGCAAAATGAGCTTCTCTTCTTCTCCTCCTGTTCCTCATCCAGTGGCATCTTCCTGCCCTTTATGAGTCACTGTCCAAAGAATAGAATATAACTGAAAGCTACTTTACTGACATCTTATCTCTTCATTACTCTTTTACCTCAAAACTCCCCTCATATGGGGACACACACAACACAAATATATGCAGATATTCACATATTTTTAAATACAAGTGAACTTCACATACATTCTTCTTTAAATGTGTAATGAGGATACAGATCTCTATTTTACTTATTTCTCATCTCTATTCCTTTTATGAATTACATAGATATATGATAGAATATAGCAGTTCTTTCATTTTAAAATAAGAATATCACACAGTCCAGCTTGTCTCATAATCCTGGCTTCTCTGACAGTGTGGTTCAGTGCAAAAAAATGGACTTTGGAGTTAGCAGATCTGGTTTTGAATCTTGAATCTGTATCTAATTATTTTACGTTGTATATGCTATTTAACCTCACTGGATCCATTTTATTTGTTTAACATAGAAGAAAAAAATCTACCTCAATTTTTTGCTAGGATTATATAAAATGATACATAAGGTGGCTAGCAAAATGTATGTCATACAATAAGCATGTTAATTCTCCTCCTTTTCCCTTAGCCTACCGTCCTTTATTTATTTCCAAATCAATCAGAGAGAGCACTCTCTTTATGTTCCTTGGTTGGTTCTAGGCTCAATCCATATTTCTATCTTCCCATCTTCATCCTTCTTTATATCATCTATCATTTATTCACCTATCCATCAATATTTTACCAGTTGTTGTCGAATCAGCTGTGACTCATGGCAACCTCAAGTGTGTCAGGGTAGTACTGTCCTCCATAGGATTTTCAACGGTTGATTTTTTGGAAGTAGTTTGCCAGACAATTCTTGCAAGGCACTTTTAGGTGGACTTGAACTGTGTTCCCAGAGAGCCAATATTCTAGTGGGAGAAAGAAATGTGCTCAAGCAATCACAATAAAATAGAAGTGTTCTAAAAAGCATATATAAAATGCTTTTGGAGGACACTCAATGGACTGAGAAATTTTGTGTTGCAGAGGGACTTATGGACGGTTATTACCAAAAAAGAGATTCACTCTTAACACCTGCCTTTGTCAGGCTGAGAAGAAGAAGAAGAATCCAACAAAAATCTCAACAGTTTAGTTCTCAAATAGTTATGTTTTCTTGTCTATTTTTTCTTCCCTCGTTTTCCCATGTAGTAATAACTCCCCATTAATATTTTGCCTTGGCTTCTTACGTCATTCAGTTTTACTAGGTTGTGAGAGTTTTAAATACAGAAACGATTCTTCACTCATTTCTGTCTCATAGCATAGTGGTTAAGAGCTACAGCTGCTAACCAAAAGGTTGGCAGTTCAAATCCACTAGTTGCTCCTTGAAAACCCTATGGAGCACTGTCGAGTTGGGTTGGGTTTTGGCCCTTAGCACAGCAACTGGCATAAAATCATCATTCAGAGAACTGACTGGTTGATTTGGTTCAGTACATTTATAATTTATATTTCATTTGGCATCAGCTTTCCAATTCTTACTTTTCTTTCCCAAGAAGATGCTGGCCATGTGTAATGTACCAGTACTAATGACTACAGCAGAAAAAGTAATGCTCCCCTCTTTTTTCCCCATTGAGGTAACAAGTGATTATTTCTATCACTATTTTCAGTAGACTGGAGGAGGGGTCAAAAAACAACTCACAATCCGTCATATTCATCTTTATTTAGTGGCAGTCAAGATCTAGTATTAACATTTCTTTTATTTATCTGTCACGAGTGCAGCAAGCCCTGACTACTGAAAGATGAAGACACTTAGGCCCTGTTGTGTCCACATAGACAACTGGGCTAGGTATACCATTCCTTGTTAGCTCTTTGTTGATGAGTACTTGAGCAAAGTAAAAAACAAAACGAAAAAAGTCTCCAATGATGGTACCAGTAGTCAGTTACAAGTACTCAATAGAATTTCAATGGTCATTTAAAATATACGCCCCAGCTTATGCCTCCCTTGTGACTCCAGTTCTTTTTCTTTGCTACTATTCTATGTGCTTTCTCATCATCTGAACTACTTGAGATACCAACATGTGATATCACCTCAGCCTGACTGTTCCTGTAGTGACTCCCTTTGTGTAACCAGTCCCTACTTCCACTTCATTCATGCTTTTTCCAAAGTCATTAATCACATGTTGCTGAGTGCTTCCCAAGCACAGGTCAACATGTCTCAAAGTAATCTAATAACATGGACATAACCAGGCCCTAAGAGAGTGAATTTCACTAATTTACTTAGGAGAATTCTGTATATTGGCAGAAGTGGTTTACTCATAGCGAGACAAGGAAAGCAAGGAAGGGGGAATGCAGAGTTTGGTCATCCTGGATCCTCCCAATAACATAAAGTGGGTGCAAGGGGCCACAGCTCAGTCATAGTGTAGCCAATTAAGAAAAGTGTGGTTTCCAAGGTGACCTATTAAACTCTTGTTCTGACCTTGACAAAATATCAGAACTGAGGTGGAAGCTGATATGGCAGGGGTCTTATCTAGTCTTGCTTCCTATGCCTTGATCAGGATACCTAAATCATGTATTTCAAAACAATTTCTGGAATTCTTGATAAGATTCATTAGGGCAGTCTGCTCATAGCAAGTGGGTTTAAGATTTCATGGTGGATATCCATGGGAAGCAATAGAAATAGCTACCCCAAAGTGTAAGATGGAGAGAAGGATAACAGGGGTGAGTAGACCTGGGAAACTACATAGACACAGAAATAGAACACAAGATGAATCCATGTCCCATAAACATATATAATGGAGGAGAAAGTACATTACAGGAACTGGAATAGAGAAGCCCTGTTACTAAAGGAAGCTTCTAATAGAAGAGTCTAAGATAGGAGTGTGGTCCAAGATTCAGGGACAAGGATAGCCCTTGCTACATTATCCCAAACCAGCTTCCAGCGAGGACATCATAGAATTTGCCTTCACAGGTGCCCATTAGCTCTTGTATTCATATCCATTACTTCCAGAGCAACTTATGTATTATGGAGACTTAATACAAAGACATGTTAAATTGTACTTGTGGTTGTTGTTGCTTTGTTGATATGTATGCATGTGTGTGACAGAAGTCCATAAGCACCTCTTACCTCAATCAGGGATAGTCTAGGCACTATAGTAGTGATAAGCCTAGAGAGATTGATGGTTACAATTTGGATAAGGTAGAGGCAGGAAAATGGGGCTACGATCTGAACAGAAAATCCAAGACACTGTAAAATTAAGCGATAGGCACAGTAATTAGATTGAGGATGTTGAATAAAGACAGACAATTGTGTAATTGTGGAAAGGGTTCAAAAAAAGGGATTAGAATATGATAAAAGGATCAATATCATAACAGACACTTTAACTATTGTCTCTCTTTTCAGGTGTGTCCTCAATCTATCATGTTAATTTTCAATAATACCACATCCTCCTCCTCATATTTCCTCCTCACTATTTTCCCTGGGCTGGAACTTGGTCATGTCTGGATCTCCATTCCCATCTGCTGTCTCTACACCATTGCCCTCTTGGGGAACAGCATGATTCTACTTGTCATCATTACTGACAGGAGTCTCCACAAGCCTATGTACTATTTCCTCTCCATGCTGTCAGCTGTTGATCTATGTTTGACTATCACAACCCTCCCCACTGTGCTTGGGATTCTCTGGTTTCATTCCCAGGAAATCAGCTTTAAAGCCTGCCTCATTCAGTTGTTCTTTGTACATGCCCTCTCCTTTCTGGAGTCCTCAGTGCTGGTAGCCATGGCCTTTGACCGCTTCATGGCCATCTGTAACCCACTGAAGTATGCCACTATCCTCACAGACATGATGACCACGGTGATTGGACTGGCCATCTGCATCCGGCAAGTAATTATCATGTTTTTCATGTTTCTAGGCTTGAGGAACATGTCTTTCCGGGGAGGCCGAGAGCTCTCCCATCCATTTTGCTACCACCCAGATATAATCAAATACACATATCGTAACCCTTGGATTGCCAGTTTTTTGGGCATGTTTTTTCAGCTCTACCTGACTGGCACTGACTTATTGTTCATCCTTTTCTCGTATGTCCTGATCCTTCGTACTGTTCTGAGCATCGTGGCACCCAAGAAGCAACAAAAAGCCCTCAGCACTTGTGTCTGTCACATCTGTGCTGTCACTGTTTTCTATGTGCCAATGATCAGCCTATCTATGGCACACCGCCTCTTCAGCTCTACTCCAAGAGTGCTCTGTAGCATTTTGGCCAATATTTATCTGCTCTTACCACCTGTACTGAATCCTATAATTTACAGCTTGAAGACGAAGACAATCCGCCAGGCTATGCTTCATCTGTTCCAATTCAAGGGTTCACGCAGATCCAATGGCAGGGGTCTTAGAGAAAGGTGAGGTTCAAATCGCCAAGGATTGTCATAACATGAATTATGTATAAGTAGGAAAGGGATTTAGGACATTGGCATCCTCAGATATTTTGGTTACTTATGTGATTCCAACTCAATTTTTGAAGCAAGGAAAAACAAACTTCCCTGAGGTGACCAAAGAGTTTAAACAAATTAATACAATTCAAAACCAAATTAATTGTGTATATGTCCCTCAAACATTTTTTAGAACAATCACATGGGCTCCCATGCACATTAAATGCATAATAAGATCACTTTATCCTGATGAAAAATTTATCTATTTAAGAAAGGAAATTCTTAGGCCACAAATAAATGACAATAATTTTATTTTTTTTCATTCAGATGAATAAAATCTTTTTTTTTCCTTGAGGGTAAATTTTCCAGAAGGCAATGAAGATTTTTCCTTGAGCTGGTAAAAGGAAAAGTTATACATGTGTTCAAATGCACACACATAGAAATTTGCTGTTTAACTCTAGGAAAATCTTGCACACTGGTTTCAGTTCCTGGAGTCACCTCTAGAGAGCCCTATACCCCCAGAGATGTATTCCATATAGTCTATATTTTCTTTAAGCCCTTTCCTCCAATGAGTCCAATATGTAGTTACATATTGATTCTTTTCTTGTTGACTAGATATTTAAATATAGTTCTAATTGTGATTCCATAGTCCCTTTTTGATGTCTACTCTGTCTCTGAACAATATTATTTTTGTGTTTGCCCTTAATTATTGGACTGCTAACTTCCTACTTAGCTGTTAGCTACCTTCACTTTCCAGTGTACTTGTAATTGCACGGTACAGAGTTGGTGTGGTGTTGGAGAGAATTCTTCTACACACAGAGTTATGAAACTTTAGTTCTGCCCAGGATAATCCCATGTCTGAGCACAGTACACCAAGCAGATATTCTGATGTGGGCCACTTTCCCCTATATCACCTTCGTACTCCCTGGCAGACAGGGAATACCAGTCCCAAACTCTGGTATGTTAGCCTGAGCTGTCTTTGATTCATACAAAAAAAAAAAAAAAAAAAAATTCAGTGTGAAGCTCAAGTGCTGCCAACTAGTCTCCTCTGCTTTAATCATTACCAACAATATTCAAATTTATTTATAGCTACTGCTTACTGACTTTGGCAATAGGTTTTCTATCAGTCCAGATGTTCAGTGTCCAGTGTGCTTGTAATTTATTATCATATTCTGAGTTGTGAAAGGCATTTTTCTTTTTTTTTTTTTCCATAGTAAATTGAGAGATGTTGTGTCCGGGCCTACTAGCCAGCTGACATTTTATATATACTGTGTAAGCACTGGAGATATGACAACAAATTTTTGAAATTCTTTTGAGGAAACAAAATACAAGTATGAAAGACAGACATGTAAACCAATAATAACAACATAGCAAGGTAATTAGAGAAATGTAGGGTCCACAGAGAATCTCCCAATTCATGATACAAAATAGTTAAGGGTTGACTTATTCTCAGTTTAAGATTTATACCTTTTCTGCTTCTAACTAATCACAAATAAAAGATGAACAACAAACAAATGGATTTTTATAGAAATTAATTCAAGACAGTCAATCATCTTTAGCTGATTATCTTTTTTAATGGAACTATACATATGTGAATATGATTTTATATTGTATAATATATGGTCATATTTTCTGCTAGTTTAAAATTGCTTCTAGTTTAATGTAATTGAGTATATCATAGTTCAAAATACCATGTGCATAAACAAGCAAAAGAGCCATTATTTTATGACATATATTTTTACAGCAGCTGATCAAGAATATCAGTGTTTCAAAAATTACTGTATTATTATCTTTCCTATTCCTTACTGATAGCAAAACTGTCACTCTGTTTTCCTTTTAGTAGCTATGATTTCATGGATCCCTAGAGCAATGTAGAGAAAAAAGCTGGTCTGTTTAAAAAAATGTTACAAGAAAGTTTATTGTCATCATGAAGCAAGGCTATAAATGTTCTAAAGTAAAAGACATAATCATTTGTTGTTTTATTTTGATTGTAAAGGAAATTAAGAAATATAGAGGTCTATGCCAATGTTTATTTCCATGAACAAAGGGAAATGATTGTTAACCAAAGCACTTTTGACCATAGACGTCTTTCACTGAAACGGTGAATCCAGAAGAATTTCCACAAAATTGACTGAAGGCCCCTCAACAAATATTGTCTGCAAGTCACCTAGAAGATGACCAGCAACTGGATTCGGATAGCATCTTTTAACTTCCAGATCTTTTGATATCCATTTCCTGTATAGAGACAGAATCTCTACTACACATGTACTTATCCTTGTGCTGTGTTGTTGTTAGATGCCATTGGGTCAATTTTGACTCACAGTGACCCCATGTGACAGAGTAAAACTGCCCCATAGGGTTTTCTTGGCTGTAATCTTTAGGGAAGCAGATTACTAGGTCTTTTTCCTGCAGACCTACCGGGTAGGTTTGAACTGCGAACCTTTCAGTTAGTAGCTGAGCTCTTAATTGTTTGAGCCACCGGTGCTCTTAAACATGTAATTAAACAGTGTAATTAAAATTCCATATCAGTGTGTTGATTCATGATTTTAATAACATTGCATAACTATCCAATAAATATCTTTTGATTCCTATATCACTCCTAAGGTTACAGACTTCAGAGCCAATATAGTGCCCCAGCCCATATGCTGTACTAATTATAAGGATGATTAAGACAGATAATTATCACTCCTCCGTAACGCTTTGCATAGAAAAATATTATTTTCTTCTCTGACACTGGCTTACCCTGCTATACTTTTTCCTATATCTTTATTTTAGACCCAATTTCCCCAGAACCTTTTCATGAATTTGCCATGTCTTCACACAGTATACTATGGGGTTCATCAAAGTTGGCACTAGCAAGAAAATGTCAGCAGTGAGGATGATGGCCATTAGGGATTTGTGCTTGCCAAACTGATGCATGGAGGCCAAAGCAATAATGGGCACATAGAAGATAAGCACAGCACAGATGTGGGAGACACAGGTGTTGAAGGCCTTGAACCTCTCCTGATGAGATCCAATTCCCATCACAGTCTTCAGGATGAACACATAGGACACAGCAATGAACACACTGTCTGATATCATACAGAGAGCAACAATGAAACCATAGAAAAAGTTGACTGTGTTGTCAGAGCAGGCCATCTTCATGACATCCTGATGGAGACAACAGGAGTGAGAAAGTAAGCTTTTCCTACAATATGTCAACCTTCTGAGAGTGAAAGGAAATGGAAGCACTAAGAGCATGCTTTTAATGAGAAATACTAACCCCATTTTGGCAACTCTGGCACTGGTCAGGATGGAACTGAATCTCAGAGGGTTGCATATGGCCAAAAAGCAGTCAAAGGACATGAGCAAAAAAATCAAGGACTCCATATCTGTGAATCCATGGATGAAGAACTCTTGAGCAAAGAAGCCATTTGGAGAAATTCCTGTGACATTGAACAAGAAGATCCTTAGCATAGTGGTGAGGGAGGAGGGGGACAGGCCTAGGTCAGAGACCGCCAACATGGAAAGGAAATAGTACATGGGTGTATGAAGTGAGGGCTCTATCCTGAGCACAAAGAGGATGGTGCAATTGCCCAGGATGGCCACTAGGTACATGAGGCAGATAGGGATGGAGATCCAGATGTGAATATGCTCTAGTCCTGGGATTCCAATCAGGAAGAAGAAGTTGATCTCAATTTAGAAGAATTGAGAGTGTACCAGGTGAGTAGGTTGGAAAGCACCTATTCCCAAATTCAAAATTACACTTTCGACAAGGTTTGTTGTGCTCATTTTCCTCCTCTCATCACTTTTTTTCTGAGACATAGACAAAGAAAAATAAAGTTTTGAAAAACTTCCCCTATCAAAAAAAGGAAATAATAAACCTTTTTTTCCTAAATATAGTATATGTAATAGCATGAGATAATGCTAACTGACAAGAGAGATCAGGAATACAGTTATTGTTTTTGACCAGTCACACCTTTCCATAAGGTCTTTAGGAAGAATAGTTACATAAATAACAGTGTTCTCCAAATAAATCCACATTTAACCATTAGGCTTTGCTCTCCTCACTGCTAAGTCAATGAAAAATTTTATACAGCCAGGCTGAATTATAGAGTAACTCCTTTTCATGGCCCAGAAACAGACTAGAATTTAAAAGCAAACAAATAAACAAAACAAAAAAATTAACCAAATGGGAAAAATCCAGAAAGTAGATTGTGAAAGAACAAATAACCAGTGGTTTCTCCAGTTTCTAGAGTTATTTGCTCCAAACTTTTCCAGGCCAGACCTTGAGTTTCTAAAGCTGATTTTACACACAAGCTTTCCAAATGGAGAAGTCCAAAGAAAGGACAGAAAATATGCCATCTGTGCTTGACTCTCATGGTACTGTGAGAATTCCATCTTCCTGTATGGTAGCAAATAAAATGTTCTTAAACATGAACAATACATAGCAGTGCTCTCCATCCTTTAGCATGGGAGAAGGGGACTCCAACTTTCTTTAGGATGAACATAGAAGCTCAAAGATATGAAGTGGCTTAGTCGACTAGATTACAGGGCAGCCATTGTGGGTAGCAAAGTTAGACATAGGGGGAGTACTGCCTACATCCATTTTTTCCATAAAATCATAAGGTAAATGAATGTTTTAAAGAACTATAAATTTTATTATAAACATAAGGGAAATTATAGGAGGATTGAGAGGTTAGACGATGTCATGGATTGAATTGTGTCCCCCAAAAATATGTGTATCAATTTGGTTAGGCCATGATTCCCAGTATTGTGACATTGTCCACCATTTTGTCATCTGTTATGATTTTCCTATATTTTTTAAATCTTACCTTTATGATATTAATGAGGTGGGATAGGTGGCAGTTATATTAAAGAGGCTTGACTCAATCTACAAGATTGGATTGTGTCTTGAGCAAATCTCTTCTGAGATGTAAAAGAGAGAAGTGAACAGAGAGACAGGGGGACCTCATACCACCAAGAAAGTGCCAGGAGCAGAGCACATCCTTCCTCTGGATCCAGGGTTCCTGCGTGGAGAAGCTTCTAGTCCAGGAGAATACTGATGAGAAGGACCTTCCTCCAGAGCTGACAGAGAGAGAAAACCTTCCCCTGGAGCTGATGTTCTGAATTTGTACTTCTAGCCTACCAGACTATGAGAAAATAAATTTTTCTTTGTTAAAGACATCCACATCCACCTGTCTCACACTATGCACAGAAACTAACTCAAAATGGATAAAAGACCTAAATATACAATTGAAAATGATAAAGATCATGGAAGAAAAAATAGGGACAATGCTAGGAGCATTAATACATGGCATAAACACAATACAAACCATAAGTAACAATGCACAAGCACCAGAAGAGAGACCAGAAAAATGACAGCTCCTAAAAATCACACTTATGCTCATCAAAAGACTTCACCAAAAAAGTCAAAAGACAACCTACAGACTGGGGAAAAATTTTTGGCTACGACAAATCCGATCAGCATCTAATCTCTAAAATCAACAAGGTACTGAAAAACCTCAACAACAAAAAGATAAATAACCCAATTAAAAAATAGGCAAAGGATATGAACAGACACTTCACCAAAGGAGATATTCAGGTGACTAACAGACACATGAAGAAATGCTCACGATCATTAGCCATTAGAGAAATGCAGATCAAAACTACAGTGAGATACCATCTCACCCCAACAAGGCTGGCATTAATCCGAAAACACAAAACAATAAATGCTGGAGAGGCTGTGGAGAGGCTGGAACACTTATACACTGTTGGTGGGAATGTAAAATGGTACAACCACTTTGGAAATAGATTTGGCACTTCCTTAAAATGCCAGAAAGAGAAGTACCATATGACCCAGCAATCCTGTTCCTTGGACTATATCTTAGAGAAATAAGAGTCATCACATGAATAGATACATGTACACCCATGTTCATTGCAGCACTGTTCATGACAGGAAAAAGATGGAAACAACCTAGGTGCCCATCAACGAATGAATGGATAAACAAATTATGGTATATTAACACAACAGAATACTACACAATGATAAAGAACAATGATGAAGCCATGAAACATCTTAGAACATGGAGGAATATGGAGGGCATTATGCTGAGTGAATTTAGTCAGTCACAGAAGAACAAATATTGTATAAGACCACTATTATAAGATCAACAGAAGTTTTAAACACAGAAGAAAACATTCTTTGATGATTATGAGGGTGGGGAGGGAGGGTGAGGGTTATTCACTAACTAGATAGTAGATAAGAATTATCTTAGGTGAAGGGAAGGACAGCTCACACTACAGGGGAAGTCAGCACAACTGGACTAAACCAAAGCTAAGAAGTTTCCTGAATACAGTCAAACACTTTGAGGGACAGAGTAGCAGGGGTAGCGGTCTGAGGACCATGCTTTCAGGGGACATCTAGGTCAACTGACATAACAAAGTTTATTAAGAAAATGTTCTGCAGGGACTTCTGGACAACATGACGCTATAGGCAGATGCACTATGCTGTCCCTCCACAGCAAAGATCCGAAAAACTAAGCCAGAGAAAACAGCAATCCTAAAACCCTAAGCATCAAATGAAGAGATAAGGAACTCAGCCAAGCACCGAATGGAATAAGAAACTGACAGAACAGAGAGCGAAGAGAGGTACATGCAGAGGTTCCCTAACAGCTAATGCAGCAGAGACCAGCCATCTTGGACTCCTATTAGAGACCAGGAAACAGGGGGTACGAGAAAGCAGCTTCATGGAGCTTCCAGCAGGAGACAGAACAACCGGTAACCAGCGAAATACACTTTCCCACCCCACAGCCTTCTTCAGCCCCACTAGGCCTCCTCTGCTTCCTGCGGCCACAGTCCTTTGGCCAGGAAGCACCGGCTTCACCTGGTGTCACTTGGATTCCATCCGTCTGCACTGGCTGCTCCATAAGTGCCTTGTTGGCTGCTGATGTTGCTTTTTTCTGCTTCTTTAGATTTCTTCTTTACCTCTCACCACTTATCCCTCCTTTCTCTCAAATACCTGGCTCTGTGTGCTGTCTTTGCTTCTTCCTGAAAGGCTGTGAAACGCCGCTCAATTGTGTGACTGCTTCCCGGCCTGTGCTACCACACTGGTGGGATCCCGGGACTTTGTTTTGAATTGTTTGTTTGTTTTCTTTTTCTTTTCTCGAATTGGGAGCCCGTTGTAGCCAGACAGTACTGTGCGGCTTGGGACCTACTCCTCAGTTTGCGCTGACGCGCTGAGGGATCCCTAAGGGCATTACTTTTTTCTTTTTTTTTTTTTTTTTTAATTTTTTGGGGGAGTGTTTTCTTGTTCTTTTTTTATTTGTTTGTTTTGTTTTCTTTTCCCTATTCGTCTTTCCTCATTACTCAGTTTCTTGTCTCTCTATACTTTCCTTCTCTTCATGTCCCATGAATACCTGGCACTGAGTGACACCTCTACCCCTTCTAGCCAGGTTGTACTTCACAGCCTGGGAGCAACCTACCCAGACTTCACAGGTGCACGGGTGGGATCCCTGGGAGCTTTTCTTTGCTTTTTTCTTTCTAATTTTTATTTATTCATTTTTTTCTTTCTTCTTCTTTTTTCTTCATCTTCTCTTTGTTTTTTTCCATTTCATAGTCTCTCACCTCTCCACTCTAAAAGCAAGCTCTCCTAACAATTTTTTTTGTTTGTATGTTTCTGGCTCCTGTTCCTCTCTCCACTCTACCATACATATCTTAGCTCCACACATCACAATATCCCCCTTCCATCCTGCCTACATGCACTGTGCACTGAACATCACACCACCCAGAAGCCCAGGCATGGCCTACTGGAACCTGCCCAACACTGATTACTGGACCTTCCTGGTGGCCATAGTAAGTGCCACTAATAACCCATCCCAGCAACTCCTCTTCAGCTAAACCTCCCCTACTGTACCATATCTGAGTGACTGACTCTGCCAGTTGGAGAAGGTGAAAAGTATTGTGCCCATAGACGAGCAAAGAACACACAGCCCACCTGCTCAGACATAGCCAAATAAAAAACCAGGAAGAAACAAATCTACAATCAAAAACGAGAAAAATAACTACTGAATGACCTGAAAACAGCAAACAATATCGAAACATTTACAAAAACAGGACAGAATGGATCCAGTAGGTGTCCAAAATAAAACACTAGATGACTTTCCAGGAGAAGAAAAGGCACTAGAACTGTCTGAAAGGGAATTCAAATCTCTAATATTCAGAGCTATCCAAGAGTTTAAGCAAAAAGCAGACAAAAATGAGGAAAAAAAAAGACAAATTTATGGAAAAGGCAACAAAGTCATGGAAAATACAGGCCAAAAAAAAAATGGAAGAATTCAGGAAAATGATGCAGGAAAAAAAAAAAAAGCCAAAATAAATTCACAATGAGAAACCATATAAAAACAGTAATTAGAAATCCAAAAGATAAACAACAAGATTTCAGAAATGGACAATGTCATAGAAGGGTTGAGGAGCAAGTTTGAAACAATGGAAAACAGGATCAGTGAAACTGAAGACAAACACTTGGCTACAACTCTGAGGAAAAATCAGAAGAAAGAACAAAGAAAAATGAAGAGACCCTGAGAATTGCATAGGATACAATCACAAGCAAAAATCTGTGAGTGATCAGAGTTCCAGAACAGGGGGAGAAAACAAAACACAGAGAGGATCAATAAAGAACTGCTGACAGAAAATTTACCTAATATCATTAAAGATGAAAAGCTGGCCATCCAAGAAT